AACATTAATTATACTAGTACAGTTCGTAAAATAATAATGGAAGAATGGTTGTCCATGAAATTTTACGTTGTGTTAAGCATATTTACTAGATATCGTTTGATAATGTCGCATTCACTCACAGTGGTAATACATTTAAGCTTTTATAAATAATGGTGTTACCGAAATTATCATTTATCGCAAACATCATAAAGATGGTGTGCACACAGTGGAATGAAGTCTATATTTTATCTTGTTTTGTTATGTAACATGATTACTTTATCCGAAATAAATTTGATATACTCGTAAAAATAACACTTCAAGTAACACTTACCTAAAGAGATAACAGATAAATTGTAGGATAAAAATTGTAGCGTAATTCATGTAATCCATGAAAACTAATTCAGCGCATACGTGATAATAAGTGGCTACTAGTAACTATTGTAGATTAATGCTGCCGCTTTTTTTCCCTACCTATGCTGATAGCCTTGAGAGGCTATTTCAGCTTCGCCCTAACATGTAGGTGAGCTCACGGGGCTCAAACCTGATGACGTTGCTAATACGAACCCTAACAAGAGCCGTTCTTCGCAGAAGCTACCACAGGATCAGCTGCCGCTCTTCTAGAGGTATTACACCATTTATACCACATTTATTATTCACATAATTAATTGAAAGACTAGCAAATTCCCGAGACTTGAAGCGTGGTATAATTCTGATGACCAGAATAAATTGAAAGAATAAATTGTATCTAAAAAAAGATTTGTATCGTAACAAAGTTAAACACTCGTTTATTTCTAAAGTACAATTCTAAGCGAGCTTCGAATTGGTTCGAGTTTGTAATGCATACCCGTATAAGGCCGGTATTAAATATATTATCCGACAAAATAGTGCGGGCCTTTCCGTTCAATTTCACAAATCGTGTTGTGTTGATGGTCGGACGCTCTGACGTATCGCGTTCTACCGCCGGGATCTTTTTCTGCTTGATGGCAAATTGGATTCTATATACAGCCTTCAGAGGTTGATATGTAGATAGTAAATATTCCTTCCGTAGGTCCTTTGTCAAAGTGACGGGATAGGTAATTGAAACTAGTATTGTGTGAATAGACGAAACATAATAACAGAGTAGAGGTAATGCCACGTGTTCATTTTTTTTTTGCTTAAATGGGTGGACGAGCTCACGGCCCACCTGGTGCTAAGTGATTACCGGAGCCCATAGACATCTACAACGTAAATGCCGCCACCCACCTTGAGATAAGAGTTCTAAGGTCTCAGTATAGTTACAACGGTTGACCCACCCTTCAAACCGAAACGCATTACTGCTTAGAAATAGGCAGGGAGGTGGTACCTACTCGTGCGGACTCAGAAGAGGTCCTACCACCAGTTAACTTTACTGATAAGTACCACCGTCCTGACTATTTGTACCGCGAAGCAATAATATGTACATTCGGGTGCAAAGGTGGAGCAGCCATTATACAATATATTTGAGACTTCGACCTCATGTCTCAAGGTGGATGGCGGAATTCACGTTGTAATTATCTATGGGCTCAAGTAACCACCAAGCAGACGGCTATGTTCTCGTTTCCGCATATGCAATAAAATTATTAATAGAAACCATTTTCAAAAACATACATTTCAATGCTCTTGGAATTAAAAAAAAAGTTCGATGACGGTTCGATGATGGTTCGATGAATTTCCTTAAATCCTTTTGTGGTTAATGTACTTATTATTTGAAAAGAATAATATTTTAAGTCATTTTATCTACATATTATGAAGAAACCACGTACAATTATGGTCAGACAAGTAACAGCATGTTGTCTTGACAAGGGTCAAAACTATACACTTGTATACATTTTAATNTTAAAAAAAAAGTTCGATGACGGTTCGATGATGGTTCGATGAATTTCCTTAAATCCTTTTGTGGTTAATGTACTTATTATTTGAAAAGAATAATATTTTAAGTCATTTTATCTACATATTATGAAGAAACCACGTACAATTATGGTCAGACAAGTAACAGCATGTTGTCTTGACAAGGGTCAAAACTATACACTTGTATACATTTTAATTTTAACTACCATAACTTTAGTTCAAGTTTATAGTTATCCAAACGTACAAATACTGTGACTATGTTACAATTAGGGAAAGATTTATGTTTTGTATCAAATTTATTACAATTTAAATTATATTACTGTACTCAACATTAATTATACTAGTACAGTTCGTAAAATAATAATGGAAGAATGGTTGTCCATGAAATTTTACGTTGTGTTAAGCATATTTACTAGATATCGTTTGATAATGTCGCATTCACTCACAGTGGTAATACATTTAAGCTTTTATAAATAATGGTGTTACCGAAATTATCATTTATCGCAAACATCATAAAGATGGTGTGCACACAGTGGAATGAAGTCTAATATTTTATCTTGTTTTGTTATGTAACATGATTACTTTATCCGAAATAAATTTGATATACTCGTAAAAATAACACTTCAAGTAACACTTACCTAAAGAGATAACAGATAAATTGTAGGATAAAAATTGTAGCGTACAATTTAATAAAAATTGTCATGTAATTCATGTAATCCATTAGAACTAATTCAGCGCATCCGTGATAATAAGTGGCTACTAGTAACTATTGTAGATTAATGCTGCCGCTTTTTTTTTTCCCTACCTATGCTGATAGCCTTGAAAGGCTATTTCAGCTTCGCCGTAACATGTAGGTGAGCTCACGGGGCTTAAACCTGATGACGTTGCTAATACGAACCCTAACAAGAGCCGTTCTTCGTAGAATCTACCACAGGATCAGCTGCCGCTCTTCTAGAGGTATTACACCATTTATACCACATTTATTATTCACATAGTTATTTGAAAGACTACCAAATTCCCGAGACTTGAAGCGTGGTATAATTCTGATGACCAGAATAAATTGTATCTAAAAAAAGATTTCTATTGTAATAAAGTTAAAACATTCGTTTATTTCTAAAGTACAATTCTAAGCGAGCTTCGAATTGGTTCGAGTTTGTAATGCATACCCGTATAAGGCCGGTATTAAATATATTATCCGACAAAATAGTGCGGGCCTTTCCGTTCAATTTCACAAATCGTGTTGTGTTGATGGTCGGACGCTCTGACGTATCGCGTTCTACCGCCGGGATCTTTTTCTGCTTGATGGCAAATTGGATTCTATATACAGCTTTCAGAGGTTGATATGTAGAGAGTAAATATTCCTTCCGTGGTTCCTTTGTCAAAGTGACGGGATAGGTAATTGAAACTAATATTGTGTGAATAGACGAAACATAATAACAGAGTAGAGGTAATGCCACGTGTTCGTTTTTTTTTTTGCTTAACTGGGTGGACGAGCTCACGGCCCACCTGGTATTAAGTGGTTACCGGAGCCCATAGACATCTACAACGTAAACGCCGCCACCCACCTTGAGATATAAGTTTTAAGGTCTCAGTATAGTTACAACGGTTGACCCACCCTTCAAACCGAAACGCATTACTGCTTCACGGCAGAAATAGGCAGGGTGGGGGTACCTACCCGTTCGGACTCACAAGAGTTCCTACTACCAGTAAACCAGTTCTTCTCTAGTGTCTTCTCAATTCTATACATAACACGGCTGCAGCGTTCGGTATTTGTTGAAATAAAATTATACGAATCGTTGCAGACTACTTACTTCTATTTATAGAGGAACAATATAATTTTCAGACATCGTAATATGAATATCATCCGCCCACGTTCAAGCCCTCAAAGTCTCATTTGTACTGTAGAACAACTATCCCGACCGTAATTTAAAATTTAAAAATAATATTACGGGTGAATTAAGTATAAGCAGAATGAATTCATAACGATTAATACCGTTGTACGTGTTGGATGACGATTCATTAGTAAATTTCTTCAAAACGTGCATGAAATAAAAAATACTTGTTAATAATTGCTAAACCATTGCAAAGCAATAACAATTTTAAATTTCAAGATTTTTTTTATTCCCGCGCACCTTTACTTGAAAAAGAGTTATGTTTCTTAGAAGCCCATCGGTAATTTCTTAATTATCTTTGTTCTTAATTAAGTAAGAGATATATTGTAAATATCAGAAACAAAAGTGAAAAGGAAATGAACCCGTCCTATATCACGTTGTTAAACACAAGTATAGCCATTTGCTTTTATGAAACACTAGGCTGTGTAATATCCCTGGATGAAAGTATAATGTGTGCAAACTGGAATCCTAAAAACATAAAATTGCATGTTTTTTTTTTTGCAAAAACCGCTTTTGTAATGATTCATACGATGTTGTTTCGTCCTTTTTTGGGTCTCGAGCATTGGAGCGAATGAAAATATTTTATTTTTCGAGATATCCTCTTTCTTAAAATACTAGCAGACCGCTCCGACTCCGCTCGGGTTTTTAACAAAAATTTCAACGATATTTGACGTTGTTTAATTTTTTAAAAATAAAAGAACACTTATTGTGGCATAACTATAATAGTTAGACATATACTGTCGCGACCATTTTTGTAAATAATATTGTGTTCCACAAAGTCGTCGTACATTATATTATTCTATCATCAATAGATTTCGCAGAGCACGCGATGTAAGGAATATTTTAGGTAACTTTTTTACACCTTAGGATACATTATTGGAGTTTTAGTAAGGATCCCAAATTTTTTTTAAAAAAGGCCTATGTCACTCGGGAATAGTGTAACTTCCAAACAGTGAAAGAATTTTTCAAATCGGTTCAGTAGTTTCGGAGCCTATTCAATACAAACAAACAAACAAATCTTTCCTCTTTATAATATTAGTATAGATATAGATAAATACGTAACGTATTTAGTATACGTCATAATCCACTAGAGTTAGAAAAGAAACAAGTGCAACAACATGCCTCTTACTTCGGGATTCAATATACCTATTACCAAGCCTTTGCAATTGCTGTATTTTATTTGTAACTGTCTGTTTGTAATTTAAAACAAAGAATAAAGATTGCTAAATATTGAGTGATAGTAATTGAAATACAGTATCAATATTTGTGTATATACATTTAATTATAGGTTTCACTATTTTGATATGTACAATTTTTTTTTCGCAAATTAAAAATAATAGAGCAATGTGAATGGCATTTTTTCTAAAGAGACTAGAGTTATAATTTATAATATTCATTTAGAAAACATTTCTGTAACGTAAAATGAAACAAATAAACTCTGAAGTACTTTTAGTTACGGTTTTTGGCACAGTACACTAATTTTCACTCAACAAATACACGTACAGAGCATTTTAGTCATTGTGAAAACATCTGTCGAGCTTTATAAAGCCGAAAACACTTTTAAAATAGCACGTAAACTGAAAGTCATCACATTATAATATGACACAGTCGTAATTCGATAATGAATCAGGGAGTGTCTTCTTTTTTCAACCAAACGAAAAGATAAAATACAGCAGCGATTGCAGACCCCACTAGTGGTCCAACCCAGTAAACCCAGTGACCTGTCCAAATACCCGTCCACAAAGCCGGGCCCAAGGACCTCGCGGGATTCATACTGGCGCCGGTTAGTGGCCCTCCAGCTATCGATAATCCCGCAATAGCCAAACCAAACTTAACCGGAACGGAGTCCTGTTTGTTCTTGTTGACGGGATCCCAGCAGGCGCAGTTCAAAAATGAAAGAGCCGCAGTCAAAACTGCTTCGACGATTAAAGCTTGAAACAATGTAATTTCCGTACGTGGTAACGTCATACAGACCCCATCCATGTCTATGTGCGAAACAGCTATTAACAATCCGTATCCTAAAATCGCTCCTGCGCATTGTGCTACTATAAACGCAATAGCCAGCGGAAACGATATCGCGCCCCATATCAGCGAGGCCAGTGTGACGGACGGGTTCATGTGCGCTCCAGATATATGTCCAAATATTTGGACATTAAACGAGACTACCAAACCGAACCCTAGTGCTCCGTATATTGGTGGTTGAGGTAAATATCCAGCGTGCGGTATACATGCCATGCACCCAAACACGAGAAGCAGCAACGTGGAAATAAACTCCGATACGATTTGTCTCCACTCATAGCACCACGCGTACATGGCTCTGCATCCTGATGCTTGCGAGACGTCTGACCGTACTTTATTTTCGATTACTTCGATGACCGATTGGGGGTTAGTTGCCGAAACCGTCATTTTTGCAGACTCTCTGAACTTTGATGACACAGAAAATCACATAACAAAAACTCAGCAAGGCACTACTGCTAATCAAGTCTTTTGTTCGTTTTTTTTTTTCGCACTTATATTAATTCGTTTTCACATGGATTGAGCGAGGACACGACCGCACAGCTACCGCGTCGAAATAAAAATATTGATATTCCTTAGTGCGCGGTCATAATAAACGATAATTCGCGTTAGCAGAGTACTATGGTTATTATCAGTCATTTCAAACAGCTTTCAGTTATTCATGCAGTGTATTATAATACATTGTTATGATCAACATTAATATGAAAAGTAATATAATACGTGTTCAGTTTTATCGGTGCAGATGCCCACTTGGCCATACGACAACATAACTTGAACAACGGAACTCACATTGTAACATGATTTAAAAGTAGAATTACGGCTACCCTGTTAATAACAGTAATGCATGACTGTTTTGCATAATATTGATGTTTCCAGAAAAACATAAGATTCGTGATTTAAAATTATGTGCGACAGATAAGTGAACAAAACATCTCGTCTATGGGCGTCGTATAAGGCAATTTAGGGATTTAGCGGAGAATGGACATCAACGCTCAATGAAAATTTATTACACCAGAATAGTGCGACTGCCACTCTTCATTTTGTATTGATACAGCATGCTACGAGCTCACGAGAATATAAACTGCCATTCTTCCATTCTTTCTCGCGATTCAATGATGTTCCGATTTCAAGAGTATGAAAACCTTCAATCTCCTCTTTCAAGGAGGGTGTCAGCATTCACGTTGTTTAATACATGAATGAATATTTAAAAAAATCTAATATGTATTTAAAAAAATAATAATGTAATATTAAAAAAAAAGACAAGCCCGCTGAGTTTTTGGCCAGTTCTTATCAGGACTGAGGCTAGTTTTTGTGAATTGGCGGGAGTTATTTTTGACGTTCAACAAGTATGTACTTTCATTTAGGTTGAATAAAAAAAAAAGATTTGATTATTATTATCATGGTGTAAAAACAAGAACATAAGTCATCAAAAATAATTACGAAAAAACGTCATTCCGATAGAGGCACCCGTCACGTGCGGACGTGCTCATCGTCCACTCGATCGCCCGGTCTTTGTTCGCCCGGCTTTTGTTAGCCCGGCCATTGTTCGCGCGGCCTGTGTTTGTGGTACATCTGCCGACTAAGTGCTCTTTCTGGAAGTTTTTATTTGTTTTGTTTCCTTTTGTTGTTTCTGTGTTCGTGGTACATCTGCCGNAAAAAAAAAAAAAAAAAAAAAATAATTACGAAAAAATCATTCTAGTTCAATAGAAATAAACTCTACCAACCATTATTAGCATATTATCTCTAATCTTTTTGCTGCCATTTGATAGTAGCTTAAGGGGTTATTTCAGCTACGCCGGAACGGGTAGGTGAATTAACTAACTCTAACCCTAGCAAGAGCAGCAGTGCTTCACTGAATCTACCACCGGATCGGAATTACAACTTACAGAAAAGATACGATGAGAAACTCAGTGAGCTGTATATATGGGTTAGTTGACTCGGCAAACTTATTACCTCAATTCTCTTTATTTTCAATAAAATAAAAAAACCATAATTCGGATTTTTAGGAACGTATCTTTATTTATTTCTGTTCCACAATTACTATAAATTCTATTGAACAGTAGATGTAACTAAAGGCAAGGTAATATCTCTATTTTCAAACTTAAAACATATCAAATTGTGTTATTTGTCAAAGACTTTCTGCAATTTTTTTATGAAAACACCTTTCGGCAACAACCTGGTATTTTTCAAAATGGTTTCGGGAAAGCAGGAAAATTGTGACCAGAAAAGCTTCGTGTAATCCTGGTAATATTGTAGCCTTGACTAATTACGCGCAGTTCAATGAACACTCATGGGATTTACCGTACATATTAGGTTATTACAAAAGAAATATTATTTCCTTCCTTCCTTGAAGAACATTTGGTATCATTAACAGTTTCGATTTTTTACATCAGCCTATTTTTTTCCATGAATTATATTTGCTTGCTTATAATTTTGATGAAAGTTATTTTTAAATCTTTTTTTTAATTATTATTTTCGAATTCATAGATCGCGAACGTAACCTCCTCCTTACCCTCTTATGCCAATGCCATAACATCGTGCAGTGCGATCGCATATGATAAATATATTCATTCACTTTTCTGCAATGTATTTATTGCCCTAGCAAATTTACATTTTGGTTAAAAGTAATAAACATTTTACTTAAAATTAGTAAGATGAGCATTTATCTCATTAAACATAGTACATTAAGCCCTCAGAATCGATGTAGAGACACTGTATGTAGGCTAGAGCTGGATGAAAAAGGCCAATGATCGTGCTCAATGGCGTCCAATTGGAGAGGCCTATGTCCAGTAATTGAATGCTGTAGGCTGATTATGATGACGACAAACATTTATCTGTTCCAAAACGTATCTTTACTAAACAAAAAATTTAAGATCCAGTTACTTTTATAATATATAGTTAACGATCAATATATTTTCTTCTGACCATGTTTACAATAGCTAGGACTAGAACAGTGAATTCGTACTCTTCTTCATCCTCGTCTACCCAATGCTGAGTGTGGGTCTCTTCACATGCACTCCATTCCCCTCGGTCTCTTGCCTTTCGCATTCAGTCCCAGACATTTTGACTAGGTCGTCGATCTACCTCATCGGCTATCTGCTCACGTTACGAGCTCAGCTCCAGTACTTTTGTGCCCCACCAATTGTCAATACGACGGCCCAATTCCACTTTCTCATAGCAATCTCTTTGGCAACGTAAGTCAAACCAGTTCTTCTGCGGATTTCGGTATTGCGCACTCTATCCCGTATACATAATGCCTAACATTGCCCGTTGAATGGCTATTAAACCTTCATGCACAGACAATTAAGAGCTTATAGTATGTTTATTCCTATATATTACTTTAATCCAACTACAATTTTGTTAGATAATTATGTTTGTGTAAAGGTAATTTGGTTATTATTTGCTTAGTAGGTTTATTGTAACGTTCGGGTAAACAAACTAGCAGTTGTTCTACTTTAGGGACTCCCTTTCATACGATATTTAAGAATTAGAAATCATAATGCTATTTCTGTTACACACTACGAAACATGAGTCTAAGTCTCTATTGTTTATTATACGTATTTAAAAAATCTACAGAGTTCACCTTTATTTACAGGTTTCTAAAAAATACTCACATATTTCTTAGAAAAATGTTTAGAAAGTATCGTAATGTAAAGGTAATTAAAATAATTGTCTTCATTATGCATACAGATTCTGCGATGATGTAAACTTGCAAATCTCTAGAAAACTGGACAAGCCACAGCGATGATGTATGTTAGTCAGTCAGCGTTGTTTTGTAGATTTAAAAGTAGACATGTAAGATAAGAACATGAGATAAAATAATATTTCAACATATCAACTTCAATCATAAGTCTTACATGGGTATTTTTTCCAAGCATATAAATGTAATTGCCCGTAATATTTTGACCTCTTTCCCATCTCGAGTAGGAAGCATTTGAAAGTAAAGGAAAAAATTGCCCGTGACATCTGTTAATTGAACAGAGCAACTTAGCTAGATTAGCAGTGGGCACAAGAGACAAATTCCATTGTGCTGTTTACTTTGTTTTCCTTACCGTACTTACCTCTTTTCTCTTGATGGTAAAGTTGATTGGACGAACTCACAAACAAGCCGGTGTTGGGTTGTCGAATAAAATACATGAATTCATACCCACGTTCACACTGAGATCCAAATCTTAATTTTATTTATGACGAATGATTCAAATTTTCATGATAAAGACAATATTTTGTAAATAATATTTTTTAATTAAAGTAGTAACATTTTTATTTGATCGTGGCATTGATAAGCAGTAACACTATATTGGAAACTAATCTAAATTAATTTATTATACTTCGACACGAAGTTTATTTGGAATTTAGCAGCAGGATTTAATTAAAAATACTAAAAACCCCAGTTGGACCTTTTCATTCTTCACAGGCAGTGCATTTTGGATCTAAATCGCACCGACATACTTTAAACGGTATAACACCATCAAATGTCTTCGTATTATCCCAAAGAACAGATGCGCTTCCTTCGATGTAAGGTTCCGTAGTATTATTCTCCAGCAAAATCGGTTCACAAAAGACACTGTCACTTATAAGAAAAGCAGACACCGTAGTCTCTTTGTCATTTAATGTGATTTTACATTTCCAAGAAGTAAAAGCCATGTAAAGATGTATTTGCGTTATTTGCACAACAATTCCGTCTCTGTCTCCGCTTTGGATGACCAGAGGTTCGTCTGGTTGCACGACCTTAGGACAGAATCGACTCCCGGCCAGTAGCGCTGGGATTGTTTTTGGATAAATTATATTGTCGTTACCACACGACTGTTTTGTACATTTACTTTTAGTCACACACCACGTGCATTTAACGTTCGTTATGCATGATCCGCATGATGAGATGACTGTACATTCATCTTTGACTGAATCCACATCAGTTTTGGACAACGAAGTGAAAGCTGCAGTGAATGCAATCAGTGCAAATAAGTGGCAAACGTAGAACGTTAACATTTTTATTTATTTAATCTGAAACATAAATTTATAAACTAAATCGGTAACATTTCCTTGTAATAAAATTAAATGACTATATAACTAATTCACTAAATTATCTTTACACGTTTCAAAATCTTATCAAGAACCAATTATGTTTATTTATTTTTTATTCCAATAAACACACATATCATAAATAAGGATTGGCGATATTTAATTTATATTAATATTATTCCCTTACAATCTAGATCAAATTCAAAATGACTTACCCAATTAAATTTTCTCCCAACACTAACTAATACATACCGATAAGCGTTAATATACATCTGGACGATCTAAACGCAACTAATTGCACCATTTAGCAATCGCTAGGGTCAAACATGATAATCCCAATAAAACAGTTACGGTGATAATGATCTCTAATAATACTTATTATAATGTCGTAATACTTATTTGTTTTTCACTTCTTTCTTCTTTTTCTCCACCTTATCCCACTAGGTGGGGTCGGCACAGCTAATTTTTCTCTTCCATTCTCTTCTATCAGCCGTCATCTCAACACTCACTCCTCTCTCTCTCATATCGT